AGTTTTCTTTTGTATCACTGGCTCTGTTTCATACCACTTTCAGCTCAGGTAATCCCACCTCATGAGATTCTTTCCCCAGACAGGACACACACATACACACACACACACACACACACACACACACACACACACACACACAAATACCCTTCCATATTTATAGAGTCTCATTACCCCCAGGATGGTCTTTGATTAGTTAAATCAACTGAGTCTCTTCTAAAGTTTTCTTTAGGATGGTCACAAAAAGTAAACCCTCATCTATTTTCCTTACTATTCCACTGAACCAGGATTTTTTAAACATCAGTTTTTATAGTAAATAAAAAATAAACATTTTTATTTAACTACGTAAAATTATACTTACCTACTTAAAAATCACATTTGCCTTTACAAAGTCACTAATTTCCAAAACACAGTATTTCGACTGTATCTTAATCTGCGACATCAGAAATTGTTTTTTCTAAGAAAAACACATTTGGAGTTTTAAACAACTTTCAGAATTTAAATTACTTAATGTCACTAATTCATCTAATGAAATGTTCTTTTAGCATATTTTACTCAAACTAAATGCTAGTTATACAAATCAGCTATCAAATTTGAAACAAAATCTATTCTATATTTTTTAAAGTCCCAAGTTATTTAAAATAGCTACTATAGTGCATTAGAAATAGAAATAAACAGGAGTATATAATATTGTTCAGGAAGAATATAGTTATTGGATATCAAATATGGATAGATTATATAAAATATTATTGCTAATCAAAATAAATCTAAAAGTGTTTAAGTATGACTTCAACATTTATAGAAAAACATTAAAAATGTATAAAAATCTAAATTCATAATAAAATAACTAAGTGAAAGTATAAGCTTATATATAAAAATTCAGGGTATGAAAAGAAAAAATAAACAACTTACAATATATTGATGTTTGTACAAAATTATTTAATATTCATTTATTAGATTTAAAAACAAAGTTAATTTGGAAGAATATTTCTTTGCTAACATTGTATTTATATTAAGAATTGACTTTTTGGTTTATAATTTCATCCTTTTTATTTTAAATATTCTAGAACCAAACTCAATATTATGATAAACTTTATAAAAACAAACATAGCATCACATAGTTTACATAAAAAGTAATTCTACTTTACACCCCTTATCCATAGGCACATTAAAAACAACAGATATTCACAAAAGACAAATATCTGGGGAGTAAGAGTTGAATAACTAGGTAATCCTGAGAAAAGTTAAAGTGAATGCAGAGTTCAATGTTCTTCCTGCTTTTCTAGATCACATTGGATGTCATCTTGGTTAAACAAGGTACTTGGTTCCACAAGTGAGAATAGTAACATATACCCACACTGTAACACAGCACATCAGAATTGAAGTTGACCCCATCTTTATGATAGAGAGACATCAATATGCTTAGGATACAAGCACTTAAACTATTCTGAAACTACCTGCCAAGAATTACTTTGAAATCACATCAGTTTTCTTGAGTTTCTGCTTCAGAAGTCAATGTAGTATGAAGAGTAAAAATGACCTTACCAAATTTTAATATGAAAATACTCTTATGTGGCATTATCTTTCTACCAATACTCATTTGGGACCAAAATGAATTATATGACTTGAAATAAATATATCCATGGAGTGTGGATTATCTGAAGTACTGTGTGCTTGCTGAGTGTTAACCTTAAGGAGTTTCTTGGCCACAGAAACATTGGGAAGTTACTCTGCACAGATTCTGACATATAGATATTTCTGAAGGAAAAAAATATAGAAGGGAAACAACCAAAGGGGAAAAAAGGCAGAGAATAAATCTGCTGTGCAAAAGTCTAAGCTCCCTGTCACGAGTGGATAAAATGAAGCATCCTGTACTTCTAGTTCCACTAGGGAGAGAAGGAACTCAGACAGTGTGTGAAAACTGCTTCCAGAAGTGATGGTGGTGGCTGTAGAGAAAGGCAACCAGCTCTTGCTTGTAATTAAACATGATATACACACTAGGCCTTCTGTAATTTCAGCTTTAAAATTACATTGCTCTAAATTTTCAGGACTTACCATTTCAGAGCTGCCTAAAGAAAATTAGCTCGCTACCCCCTTATCGCTGAAATGTGCCCCATCTAATAGTAACTTAGAATGGGGCAGATATTAAAGTCAATCTGGTTTGGTTAACTGTGGGTCCAGAATTACAGAAGTCAATTTTTCTAAGAGCAAAATTACAGATCTCTTTTACTCACTGCTAATGTTTTTAAATAACCTGCAGAGCACACAATTTCCAGCTGACTCTAAATATTAACCCACTAACAATTAGAAACAGCTTTATTGCAGCTGAATTCCTTTTCTGATTACGAGGAAATGCACATTTGTTTTGTTTTAATTCATTTTTTAATAAATATACTTGGCTGTCTCTTCTGTGAAAACGGGTCTTCTTTCTCAAAATTTTATTTTTATGCGATTAATTTATGTCAAAATGTACAAAACTTTATTACATTTTACTTACCAAAATAATAAAATCCTATGTTGTAGTACTTGGGAATTCCCTAGGTTACAATGAGAGTTTTAAAATCTGCTTTTGTGAATGATGCTAAACTGAATATTATAGTCTGAATTTGTTTATAAAATGCTACTGCTATAGAGTTATTGTTATAGTTTTGCAATTTGTAAAGAGAGCAAAAGATAGGTACTCCATTCAAAGGAGGTTCCTCAAGCACCCTATATAATAAAGAGGTAATAAAGAGGTAGTATCCAAATGGTTGTTACACCGTGAAGTGTAATGACCAACCACATAACGGCCAGATCATGGATCAGCAGGAGGGTGGGGCAGTGAGCTACAAGGTGGTGGAGAGCTACAGGAGGGAGCAGGGCAGCAAGCTATGAAGGGGTTTTGGAGGAAGGGACGAGGAGCTAAAGAAGGGCCAGTCAGTGGGCGGTGAGCTACTGGCAAGCTACTGGTGCACGGATTCATGTGCAGGACTACTAGTAGAAAAAAAAAAAGCCAGTATGGTATGGCGTAGTATAGTATTAAAAATATAAGCCTTTGGGTTTAAACCCATTCTATCAATTAAGAGCTGAATAACTCTTGTCAAATTATGTAACTTCTTTGAGGCTTAGTTTTCTTATTTGAAAAAAGGAGGTACCTCCCAGGGTTATTGTAAATATACAACTAGATCATGTTTTTAATTAACCCTGAGTTCCATTCTTTGCCTAGCTTTCTACCCTATGGGCTTCTTTCTCTAGTACAGAAGCAGGTTGAAGCTCACCAATGGTCCTCTTCCCTTCCTCTCATTGTCACAGGTCAACTGGAAAGAGATCAAAATGACTACCCAGCAATTAAAACTGGCCTGCTGGGTTACATTCATACACCATTCTCAATTTAATTCCTTAATCTCAATTACTATGACTATTTTAAGCCCCTAATGTGTCCTGATGTCTGGTAGGATTCAACTAAATCTTTTTTGGTTGATTGGTCTTGAGTCAGGAAATATAAACATTTTTCTCATTTAATCCCTAATACTTTGGGTGAGGCAGAAGTTGAACATATTTTGGAGGTAATGTGATGAGACTGTAAATGATAAGATACTTTAGTACCATTACTTATTAATTATGTGACTTGGGGCAATATCTTTGTACCTCAATGTATCAATTATCACCTCAGTCATCAACAATAAATAAAAAGGGTAATGCTAACCCACAAAATGTTGTTGTGACTTTAGATTTAGGCTCAAGACCTGGTCTAAGTAAGTGCTTGGTAAATGTTTTCTTTTCCTGACTGTTATTATTTCTCCCACAGCATTTCTTATTATGGTTTGAAAATATTGGGGGAAGTTATCTAAATGGCACATATATTTTAAAGCCATTATTTTAATTATCTCATAATATTTAATATTTGACTGAATCTTGAATTTCTAAAACAATAAAATATTGCCCCATCCAGCCCCATTTCCTGAGAAGAGCTAATTATCTTGTGGATGCTGCCTTGAGAGTTTGACACAGGAAACCTTAAAACCTTCAACAGGTCCCAAGGTCATTAAAGAACAATACCGCTTTCCATATTCATCATAGCACTCCTATGAAAGCACTGCCATCTCACCCGGTATTTGGCACAGCATAAAAAAAGAGCAAAGACTTCTGGGAGCAAGACACTTAGGTACTATCATACACTTAAGATAAAAATGTATGTAGAAATTTACATTTCTAACAGGTTATTTTAAAATATGAAAAAGGGAGGGATAATTCAGGTTTTCCAATTCCTGCTGCCTTGCTATTAGTTGGAAAGAAAAAATGACTATAGAAGCTCAGCAGCTGATGGATATGCGAAGCACAGGCTCCCTGGAAAGGGTGCAGAGAAACACATCTGGAAGGAAGACCCATCCCTAAGATGTACTACATGAGGCTGATACTTCGCAAACACCCTCAGGCAACCTAAAAAATATGCTGATCTATAAAGTTTAAATATTATTGTGCTACTCACCAGTGGTATACGCCCCACAGAAAAAAACTAATACAACATTAATAAAATATAACAAGTTATCCTGTAAAATTTAAAGGCAATTAAAACAAAAAGGCTTTGTCTTATTGTCTCATAATCTGAAGTTATGAAAACCCCACAAAGATGTGAGCCACTGAGAGTATTAGGATCCTTTTATAAAAGGAATGACTGCAATAAATGGTTAAAACCCATACACCATCTTGCCACTAAAGCTTCTAGTTAAGACTTAAAAAGATCTTCATTCTGAAGAAAACAATTACATTTTTTTTACCATTACCATTTAAAAATTCCGTGTTTACAGAGACATTCCATTGGTAGCATAATTAAGCACAACTAACTTTATCATAAACAATAACTTTACTGTACACAGTATGTTGGTAAAAATATATATCATGCCCCAAATCCTGCCTCACAGAAACCTATTGGTGTTTACAAAAACTGTCCACAATGTTCTTGGGACAAATCATTATAGCCACATTCGTTTTGTATTTTAATATCTACGTGCAATGAGAGTATTTCATTTATTTTTGTTTATGAAGTTTCCAAACTTTTGCATAAATCCTCGAAACTTGTTTTCATTTGGCTGATACGTGTGGTAAACATTAGTGTTGTAATGAAGCCTTGGACTGGACCTTCCATAGCTATTGCCCATGGTGGTGGGTTTTATTTCTGGGCGGTGTATACTGCTATTGGACATGCTGTTTGTGGGCTGGATAGAATTCTCAATCTTACAAAATGGCTCAAAACGACTGTAAATGCGACGGTCAGTTGACTGAGTTCTTAGCAGCTCATTGGGCTGTGACCTTGTAGGAAGAGCTGGTTTTCTTACAGGAGCAACAACTCTATTCACCTCCTTTGAATCTCGGTATTGGATCTGTTCCGTGTTAAATCTTGGGGCAGAGGCATCCCCCGCCCGTTCTAAGAACTTTTCAACTGGACTTGGAGAAGGCATCATCTCATTACTTTCAGCGGGTGGAGAATGCATCCCTGGCGAGGGGCTAATCATTATGTCCTCCTTACTCTTGTGGATGCTGCCTTGAGAGGTTGACGAGGAAGCACGCTTTCTTCTTGGAGACAACTCAACTTTCGGCTCTGACTTTTTGGGGTTTTGATTCTCTTCAGCCTCAGAAGCCAGAGTGTCGGAACTGCTACACATTCTATAAAAGGGAGATGCTTTGCTTTTGGATAAATTTTCTTTCTTGTCTGGGCTAAGGCTAAGCAATGACCTTAACTTCTGAGATCCCTTTTTCAGAAAGCTGGGGGAACCCTTAACTTCTTTCTTTGGAGTGAGGTCTTTGTTAGACTCCTCTTTATTCACATCAAGCAAAGCAGCGATGGAAATGGACTTGGTAGCTGCGCCACCCGGAGGGTCTCCCTTGGTCTCCTCCTCCTCCTCTTCCACACTCTTGGTCACATTGTGCATGCTTTTGGAACTTTTCAGCAAGTCCTCTTTGGGTTTTACAGGCTGCCGGATTCGATTCCTGGTAAGCGTACTATAAACATAATTCTTACTATTTCCATGGTCTAAATTGACTCTGGAGTGCTCAAAGAATGGGAAACTTCGCCTTTTAAGCAGATTCTCTTTTTGCTGTTCATTCTTTAGGTTTTCTGTCTCCTTATTGGCACACAAGTTTGTATATAAGTAGTTGTTTGACTCCGGGTGGCCATCTGCAGTTTGATGTAGGACTGCTGAGTGGTTTTCAGGCGTCTGCAAGGGGTGCATTTTTGGCGACTCTGCCTGCAGCGGTAGCCTGGGGATGGATTCTGGCAAAGGTTCATCCGTCAAATGCTCTGCCCTCGTAGGGGTATCTGGGACCGCCTTGGGGGTTTCACTCCCCTGGGAACCAATGATAGTGGAGTTGGAAGAGCCAGTTGTACAGCTATTCACTTCTTGCTGCTCAGGTAAAGTTGGTTTAAACACTAAAGAGGGGCGAACCCGGGGATGTGTATAGAGGGCGCTGGCTTTCAGGTTCTCACAGCTACCGTAGTTCTCATACCGGTCACCCGGAGCCGATCCATTGGAATCAGGCGCGGCTTCCGAATGGTCATTTAGGTAGGATTCGATCCTCCAGTTGCGCAAGAATGACTTGGTGGTATTTTCCAGGGTTGGCATCCGTTGTTGCAAAAAGCGAACATGATTGTCTGTCCCGTTAAAAGACCTCCGCACATTGGAATTCCTCTCGCCAAGATGTGTTGTTTTCCTCTGGGCAAGCCAATTGCCAAAACTCTGGGCAGGGGTGACCTGGGGGCTCGCATAGCCTCCCCGGGACGAGGATGCCACACTCAGGCTATCCGAAGGCTTTTTCCAGTTCCCAGGAGGATTGATGGTGCGGTTCATGGTCCTATTCAGCAGCAGGTATGACGCCGTCTCTGGCTGTTCCCCGGCATAACTGTGTCTCTTCCAGTTTTCATTCTGACTGGGCTGGTACTGACGGATGGCATTGGGGCCGTTAAAGTTGGGAACGAAATGAGGTTTGTATCCAGGATTCCTCATGCTGTATTTGTCGTGTTCATTCCGAGCGTATAGCCCTCTGCTTTTGAAGTAATTGGCATCTAGGTTATGGATTTGGTCTTGTCTAGCAAGGAAGTTTCTCTGGCTGGAAGCGGAGGCCAGGGAAGAGAGGGAACGCTGGTAAGTGCCGTTCTCCCACAGAGCTTTGCTGTGCTTCACCCGGGCTGATTCTTCCTGTGCGAACGGACTGGGGACACAGGACCTGGCATACAGTGTCCGGAATTCTTCATCGAAGGACTCAACAAGTTGTCCTGTGATTACCTGAACCATGCTGAAGTGAGCTTTTTCAAATGACCACATGTAGCTGGGGAGGAAAAAAAAAATCAAAATTAGAAAATTTTACATAGGCTGAGTTAAAAGATTAATGACTATATATATTGCTCTATTAAGAAAAATGTGTGCCTTAATGCCGACAAAAGAGTATTTTTCATTTGTTTTCCTTGACTATCACAATTTAGAACATCTCCAATTGTTACATGATTGTATCGATAATATATAAGCCACCCCACTCCCATATTCACATTTTAAATAATAAATCAACTCAACTTCTGGGTTTGAGTTGATTTATTATTTAAATCATTCTTTATACAAGAAGTCCAAAGAGAAATCTGCTATGCATTTTGGATCTCTGCCTGCTAAGATTATATGGAATAAGAAATGATTTTTTCATATATAGCATCCAGGCAAGATCCAGGCAAGCTAATGCCACAGGAAAAGTTGAGAGAACTGGTTTCAGCTGATCTCTCTATGAGGTGGAGCCTCAGTCTATTCTTATCCAAAGTTAGGACAGGAAGAGCATAATCGCTACAATTCTTTATACTTTGAACATGTTATAATGCCCGATAGGCCTATGCAAATAGGATGTGGGGAGTTGTAAACCGAGAGAGGGTTTGTGGGCAATAGTTATTAAACAGTGTTCTCAAGATTGATAAATTTAATCCTCACCAACCATGGCAGTCAAAATGCCAATTCAGATCTTCTAATAGAGGTACAATTTCTAGGAAAATAAATTTGTGACTACTTTATAGTATTTTGTGGAACTTCCGGTCTCTTTTTTCAGAGTTTAGAGCAAATAGTTACCTCAAAGCTTCATGTAAAATATTAAAGTCTGGTGTTTGAAAATCTAAATAATTAACATGCAAAGTCACTGAGCTAAAAAGGAAATCATTAATATGTTATGTATCAAATAATTATATGATGCAATAGGTGTTAATACAAAGGAAAAACTATAGAGACATTCTCCACAATAAAGGATTTTAGTGTTTATATAGGGGGTACAATAAGACAGGCAGATTAAATTATTAAAAGAATGTGCAGAGTAATAATTTAAAATACACTAAATACTATAAACAGTGTGCAACTTATTCTGATATGCTTACTGTTATCTAGAATACTTATTGAATGATTGTATGAGTACAACATTTACTATGTGTTCTTTATTTACACATTAGAGGCCCAATGCACGACAGTTGTGCAAGGGTAGGCTTTCCTTTCCCTGGCTGCCAACATTGGCTTCTGTCTGGCACCCAAAACCCAGGCTTCCCTCACAGCCCTGGCTTTTATTACAGAAATGTTGGCCACCAGGTTGACTTAAAAGAAATGGTGCAAAAGTAAATAATTCAAGAAATTTCAATCCAACTAAAATTTCAAACAAACTGAAATTTCAGTCTAACACTGAAGTGTGTTAGAAACAGCAAGTAAAGGAATAAATAGTCAGCTATCAAATGCAAGAAAAATTCCTGGAGAAAGTGGAAGTGTAGCAACATTTTCATAGAAACTAGACAACCCTGAAGTTCACACACAAAAGGTGTGGGAGGACAATGTGTGTAGAAGAAGAAACATAGAAAAATAAAGTAATAATGGTCATGTATTGATAGGACACAGGAAACAAATTACATTTACCTGAAGTAAAGAAGCTGTATAAGAGATGGGTGAACATTAAAAGCAAAGCAGAGTTAGACTGTGTGGAATCTGTTCCCAGGTTTGAATAAATTATAATAAAAAGAAATGTTTGAAGAATGATTATTTTTTCTTTAGCTAATTGTTGTATAGTCTTAAAAGATGAGGGATTGCATTCACTATGAAGAGTGAAGTAATTGCAATGAGGTGATAAGAGTCTAAACCAGAGCAGAAATTGGAATGAGTAAAAATGGTGAGCCACTAACAAGCAGAAAGAGTAAGAATATCTGCAGGTCATAAAAAGGCTGTGCATAGGATATGAAAGAATTGCCTTCAGGAGTGGAGCTTAGGAATCTGAGAAGATAATGCTACTAATGAATGTGTGGCAGTTGGAAAACGTTCTAGGATTTGGTAAGTCAGAAAATATGATTGTAATATAATTTCAGGTAATGGAAAGATATTCAATTGGAGACAATTAATTTAGAGACTATTCTCTGGAAACACTGAACACTCCCTGAGATAAAAAATATACTTATACTGACATTTAGGCAACTTCCAGTAAAATTTCCAGGACCCCAGCCAAGCATTGTTCTGTGAATTCACTTATTGATAAACATTCCCTACACAATTTCCACTAAGTTCTACAGTCTCTTATTCTTAAATATAAAGACAGTGCAAAAGATAGACAGACATTAGAATAAAGTTTAGAAGATAGCTTATAATGCTTCAGAGCTTAGGTGCATTATAGAAACCAAACCAAACAAACACAAAAAAGGTACTTGGAGAAAATGCACAAATAAGAATAAATGTGCACAAACACAATATTTTCAGAGAAATAAGTACATAAAACACACACAGATGTTAGGAAAATATTTCAAGTAGCAGATATTCAAAACATTTGACAGCAAAATTTTAAAAAATAGATATTAAGCAGGAGGAAATCCGCCTGTTAATAATAATGCCACCACTATTGGGTGGAAAATTAAGGGGGAAAAATACAATGGGAACAGAAATCTAGTTAAGAATTCCAGAGACCCTAACTGGTTTGGCTCAGTGGATAGAGCGTAGGCCTGTGGATTCCAAGTTCAATTCCAGTCAAGGGCATGTTCCTTGATTGTGGGCACATCCCCAGTAGGGGGTGTGCAGGAGCCAGCTGATCGATGCTTATAACTCTTTATCCCCCTCCCTTCCTCTCTTTAAAAAATCAATAAAATATATGTTTAAAAAAATTAATAATTCCAGAGACAGACAATAGAGATAATTGAGGAGAAGACATTGTCAAAGAATATATGAGAAAACTTCTCAGAATCCAAAGACACAACTATTTGGATTGCCCAGAACAAAAAAAGAAAAACAAGCCTAGATCTAGAAACATCTTAATAAATTTGAGAATAGCATGGAATAAAATGGAAATCCTAGGCCCTGGCTGGATAACTCGGTTGGTTAGAGTGTCCTGAAATATTAAGTCTGTGGGTTTGATCTCCTCCCAGGACAAATACAGAAATCAACTAATGAATGTATAAATACATGGAACAACAAATCGATGTTTCTTTCTCTCTCCCCCACTTTCTATTCTCTCTCTTAAAAATCAATAAAATAAAAAAGAGAATAATCCTAGACACTCCCAGAAAGAAAAAAAAAATATAAAGTTATATGAAGAGAACTTGAAGCATAATTGTTTGAGACTTCTTAAATAGCAATTTTAAATGCAGGGCAATGCCTTCCAAATTCATAAGAAAAAGTGATTTAACTTAGAGTTTTATCACCAGTTAAAACATAAATTATCTGGAATTATGAATTTTTGGACTTAAAAAATTCCTATGCTGATAGAAAATGTTCTTGAACAAATTTGAGAGAAAAATCATGACCGGAAACAAAAAAACAAAAGAAAAAACAAAAACAAAAATAAAAAGAGATAAAATGGGATTAAAAGTAGGATTTTAAAAACCGTAGCTCAAACTACCTGCTAATATTGAAAATACCAGAAACCCAGCTGTGCTCATTAGAGACCTGTTAGTCCAGATTGCAAATCACAGATTGTTGGTAGTAATTGAGCATCTGGAAAAGTTTGTGCTAAGAATTCTATAGTCAACTGGGGGGGGGGGGTAAGGGGGGGAGGAGAGAGACAAAAACTAATAGAAAACAAAGACAATGAATAAAACCAAAACAAAAAGGTCATTATTAACATTATTATGAAGGAGAAAACCTATCATAAATCACTTCATCACTTATCAATAATAAATTCTGACACAACTTCAGTAATACAAACCTAGACTTCTTATTTAACCAAAAAATAATGATAAACTGTATAGGGTGAATGGGAATCAGGAGGGTGAGTGGATATGCGTGGGTACAAAATATAACTCTTCGATTGCCTTAAGATAAAGTCAAAAGATCAAATCTAAAAATGATCAGTTTAGCCTAGCAGGGTGGCGCAGTTAGTTGAGCATTGTCCTGTCCATCAAAAGGTTGCCGGCTCAATTCCTGGCCAGGGACATACCTAGGTTGTGGATTCTATTCCCTGTGGGTCACATAGGGAAGACAACTGGTGGATGTTTCTCTCTCTCACCCTTTCCTTTTCTCTCTTTCCTTCTCTCTCACTTTCTCCTCTCCTTCTCTCTCCAAGCATGTCCTTGGTAGAAGATTAAAAAATGATAAATAAAACTGATAAATCACATTAGAAATAATCACATTATTTAAGAGAATGAAATACATATCAGGAGAACTAGCTAAAATAATTAAATAATTGCCCAGCTGGCATGGGTTGGTGACCTATGAACCAGAGGTCACGCTTTGATTCCAGGTAAGGGCACATGCCCTAGTTGCGGGCTCATTCCCCAGTGGGGGGTGTGCAGGAGGCAGCTGATCCAATGTTTCTCTCTCACATCAATGTTTCTCTCTCCTCCTCTCCCTTCTTTGCTCTCTAAAAGCAATAAAAACATATTTTTTACAAAAAATAGTTCAAGAACTCTGAGTTCCTGATTGGGGGTAATAAGTGATGTCCATAGAGTGAAAATAGTGACAGGTTGTGGCATGGATTTCTAAATATGATAGCCAAGTCTGATCAAAGATGGCATCTTGGAGCCAATAACTTCAGTGAAACTTACTTCACTTTAATGAAACTTTTAGAAAGATCCTAAGATTTAAAAAGAGCTTATCAAATTTTGTCAGTCAATGTTGTAGATAATATTAAATATCTTCCAGAATTCCAAATGAGGGTATCCAATTAAAAAATGTTATTTACACACATTGATAAAAAGTATATGTGTTTTATCTCATTAATGTTAGGAACGTGATATGACAAAACACTTGTTTTCCTGATAAAACCATCACCATGGTGAGTGAGCTGTCACACAATGTGTGACTGTGGTTAGTACAGACACCAGACCTGTCTAAAAATGCTGGAAGTTTAAAATATGAAGACTGCCCAGCTGGCGTGGCTCAGTGGTTGAGCATCGGCCCGTGAAGCAGGAGGTCACAGTTTGATTCCTGGTCAGGGCACATGCCCAGGTTGCGGGGCTTGATCCCTACTGGGGGCATGCAAGAGGCATCCAATTGGTATTTTCTCTCATCACTGATGTTTCTATCTCTCTTCCTCTCCCTTCCTCTCTTTGAAATCAATAAAAACATATTTAAAATAAAAAAGACAAATATTATATAAAAATAAAATAAAACATGGAGACATTTTATGGCAAAGAATTTTGAAATAAAGGCATTTTGAGTTTGCCTATGAGAAAAACAGTGACAATTACAGAATGTAAGAGACTAAGGATGGTTTTAACCAAAGGAACTAAAAAATTTTATCAGTTTCTATGAAGACTGGACCATAACTGTTCCATCAGATCCTGTTAACAGTAGGAAAGTTTCATGATAATTAGTCAGAAAAAAACAAAAGTGACAAGGGCCAACAACCATTAATTTTTAAAATAAATATATTTAAAATTAACATAACATCATAAAGAGATAAAGTTGTTAGATAAGAGTTTTGATGAATTTTTAGTAGGCATTTCATATCCACTTCCATAAATGATAATTTTAATTCTGCTTCAGGCTTATGATATAGATAGAAAGATAAAAAGTTTTGTTGCTGTTGTTTTTCCCAAAATCACCTCTAAACTAACTCAACTAGCTGAAGGCCTTGGGCAGGGGGGTAAGGCAGGCTAAAGGAGGTTGGGGGGAGGAGAGTAAATGGGTGAAGGAAGGGGACATGTATAATACTTTCAACAATAAATTATAAAAAAAAAAAATAAAGTAGCTCAGCTACAGTCATCTCATCATATAGCACCTATTAACACCAAATGGTAGCAAAACAAAGTTCAGGTGAATTTATTGCTGAAAGATGATCTTAAAAGTCAAGTTAAATAATAAAAATGGAAAGCATTCATTATTATGAGATTAATGAATAAACACCATTCTGTAAGTCAAGTGAATGCCCGATTTTAATTAAAATTTCAATTAAAATCAAGTGGATCTGAACAAATATATACACATTTAATGAGTTTTTAAAAGGACTCATTAATTTTAAGCCCTGGTTGCAATTTCTTCTCTTTGCACATTTTCCTTTAGAACTCCAAACTACATTTTCCAAAAAGGATCTCCTAGAAAGGGAAATTGGCAAATAACAGTTTTTTAAAGGCCTAAAATAACAGCTTACATTAGAGGTTTTGGAGGCATTAACTCTAATTCTCATAACAAGGGCATGAGGTAGTTCTATAATTATCTTCCCTTTAGAGAGGAGCAAGCTCAAGTGCCACTGAATTAAGTAACTTGCCCACAGCCTTCCACTTTAACTTGTTGCCTCATTCTTGTTCCTACGGTTTCCTCTTACACTGTCCTGCTTACTTCCACAGATCTCCTGGCTTCTTGCCACAGTCTTTAGCAAGGAGTTCACTCTGCCCTGGTGACATGGCAGTGCATACATGCTTGTTGGTGCTTTCCTCGGCCTGTTAATATAGCCTCGCTCTGTATCCCATTCAGGACCAACGCCTGAGATTTGTAAGAGAATATTAGGGCAGCACTCACACCGTAGAGCCAGTGGGACCTGGACTGTTCTGTCAGTCCTGGACTGCCTGTGGTCCTTAGCTGTGGGGTTTTAGACAAGTCACTTAAACTCCTGGAACTTCAATTTCATGTAGATGAAATGTAGATGAAAACATCAAAATGTAGATGAAAACAACAGTTGTAAGGATGGGGTTAAAATATATTAACAAACTAAGCTGGAACAGAGTAAATATACCACCAAAGGAACCCTCTAAAGATGCCAGAAAATAGAATCCGAGTCACCTATCTAGTGTATACTATGACAGCTAGACTCTTAAATGTACTTTTTGATAGTATTAGTGACTTGGGAATTATCAGCTTCTCAATAGTGATGAAATAAGAAAAATCTATTCAACAGGTTCTTCAAAAATGATAAATGGCTTCTATTTAAAAAAATATTTTTATTGATTTCAGAGAGGAGGGAGAGGAAGAGATAGAAACATCAATGATGAGATAGAATCACTGATCAGCTGCCTCCAGCATACCCCACACTGGGAATCGAGTCCACAACTTGGGCATATAGCTTGACTGGGAATTGAACCATGACCTCCTGGTTCATAGGTTGATGCTCAACCGCTGAGCCATGCCTTCTATTTTTTATGAGCAATTATTATTAAGTCCATACTATTAATATGTACTGCTTTCATAAGGAACAAAAACACATTTACTATTGTAGATCCATAGAGAAGCTGAGATATCAGTTAACCCCCTCATTTTGGGAATGAAGAACTTGAAGCCAAAGGAAGTTATGGGATTTGCCCAATGTCTTAATGTTCTTCAGAGGTATAGTCAGAATTGAAACCCAAGTCTCTAAGATTGTTTTTATTTTTAAGATATAACTAAATAGATTACATGAACATTGGAAACTAATAGTTCCTGTAAATGATTGATAACAACGCAGGTAAACACAAACTAGGCTATTATTAAAAAGACAAGAGATATGTGATGTGCACTGTTGGTGGGAATATAAATAGGTGTAGCCACTGTGGAAAACAGTATAGAAGCTCCTCAAAATATTTAAAAACACAATTACCATATGACTCAGGAACTCCACTTCTGAATATTATCTTTAGAAAACAAAAACATTAACTCAAAAAGATACCTGAGTGCCCATGTCCACTGCATTGGCTATTATTTACAAATAAAATTGCTAAGAAAGTAATCTTGAAAGGTTATCCTCATCACACAAATAAAAAAGGTTTTTTGTAACTATGTATGGTGATGGATATTAACTACTCTTATCGTGGTTATCATTTAGCATTAAATACAAATATTAACCATTATACCTGAAACCAATATAATGCTACATGTGAGTTATAACAGTTAAAAAAAGGAACTAAGCAGATTATGCCAAAAATTGAAACTAATAAATTCTATAAATTATTATTAATGTGGGAGAAGAACACAATGATCTTACCTGTAAGAACCATACATAACTTTCTGGCAGTCAATTAACAAAAATTTCTGCTCCAATTTTCCATGAAATTTGGCTCCTGTTTTTGAAAGATAATCTTGGCCTTTTACTGTCCTCACTCGAATATTCTAGAATTATACATAAATATAACATAAAAATTAAGGCTAGAAAAGGAATATTTTTGAAAAATAAAATAAATAAAGCCAAAACCGGTTTGACTCAGTGGTAGAGCATCGGTCTGCGGACTGAAAGGTCCCAGGTTCGATTCCGGTCAAGGGCATGTACATTGGTTGCGGGCACATCTCCGGCAGGGGGTGTGCAAGAGGCAGCTGATCGATGTTTCTCTCTCATCTATGTTTCTAGCTCTCTATCTCTCTCCCTCCCTCTCTGTAAAAAATCAATAAAATATGTTTAAAAAAAATAAAAATAAAATATATGTTAATATAATACCTTAGCACCCAAAACAGTGTACTTGAAATAATTTTTAAACACAAAACCAAAAGACAAATAGTGAAAAGCAAATTGTAAAACACCACCCAAAAAAGAAATACACTAAGAAAAGAGTAATTTAAGATACTGTTTTACATTTATATGGGATGATTTCATAAATTACTTAAGGGTCCTATTGCAAGATCCTTTCAAGTTATAAATTCATAATGTTCAAACAACTAAAATTAAAATGCAACTGCCTTTTAAAAAGTCAAATGGAACTGAAATCACTATGCCAAATGACTGCGATAAGCAACATCTGCTGCATGAAAGAATCACTGGCGTCAGTAGTTTCAATGTTGTATATGCAAAACAGAAGCATTAATTATGACTGGTAGCAAAAAAAAAAAAAAAATCTCAGAAGCTCAAGTGCCTCAGTATCAAGGAAAACGCCATATACATTTGTCATAAAGATGTGTGCTTTCAGTTATATTCAAAAAAGTAAAAGGAGACCCTTTTGGGATCAACCATCATTCTATCTTAAATTATACTGTATATATATGTATTTTTTTTCTATTTTACTTTTGGAGTAATATAGCTTAACATGTCGTAAATTCGACTGAGAAAAATAGTACACAAACTATCAAAACAGTACCTGAGGGAAAAAAACATGGAAATCTTACCCTGAGACGTTGAACTTGGCAACCCTGCTTCTCAGTCATATTTAGGAAATGATTAAAGTTGGATTCATCAAGCAGAATGTATACAGATACCCCTCGAGTTGATGCTTCCACTATTTCTTTGAAAATGTCCACATCTGTAAACATGTCCATCACTAAAGCAATGACCTGTTAAAGATAAGAATATCAAACAATGTTAGATAACCACTAGGAAAATATCTAGAAATTGGTGCTTTCAATAAAAATTGGATAAGATAGAAAATTAAACACATGAAACATATACATGTATCAACAAGTATTTATGTTTTCTAAAATAGAAGGTAAAGGATAAAAAGAATACATTGAAAATAAACAAAAATAAATAAGAAATTAGAGAAAATGGAGTGAGTGACCTGGGAATAGACACATGGCAACAACAACCAGGATCATGTAATGCATACATGGTGAACATGTTAGGAGATGAGCAAAATTATTAAACCATTTTATTTACTCTAATAAAACGTTAAAAGAAAATACTGGACTATGTACAAATTATACAAGTTGATGACATTCTCTAAACTAACTGTGAAATATATTTGAATTAGATTTTCTCCAAGTAGAACAATACCACCATTCTAGTGCCTCTCATGATCCTTTTCTTATTTATAAATGGAATAAGGTGTTGGAAGAAGGGAGATGCTTGGGTTAACAACAGCACTCATGTCTTTGAATATTCTTTAATCAAATATGTGACAAACCCTCAAAGTACATTCATAATTATTTTTTATTATTGATACTATTCCACATGTCTCCATTTTTCCCCTCTTTGACCAGCTCCACCCAGACCCTGTCCTCACCCGTATTCCCTAGCCTTCAAACACTGCTGTGATTATGCTGCATTAATAAGTGGTGTGACAATGTATGGGCACTGGGATGAAGACAAGGAAATGCCCATATTATAAACTTACTAGAGGCCGGATGCATAAATTTGTGCACCGGTGGGGTCCCTCAGCCTGGCCTACAGCCTCTTGCAATCCAGGACTCCTACGGTGATGGGCCAAAACCGACAGTCTGACATCCCCCCAAGGATGTAGTAGTGCACAAAGCAGCAGGTGACTGGGGAGGAGCCCGAAACTGGGCCAGGTGCTGTGACACTACTACTCATCCTGGTCCTGCTGCACTTGCTACCACTGCTGCTAGGTAGCACTGCCTTGGGGCAGGAGAGGCTCGCACCACTGTAGATGCGTTAGTCAGCTGTAAGCCCAGCATCTGAAGCCCATTGGTCAGCTGATGCACTGACCACCAGGGGGAAGCTCCTGGTGGTCAGTGCACATCATAGCAACTGGTCAACCAGTCATTCAATTGTTCGGTCATTCAGTCACTTAGGCTTTTATATAAAGAGATTTTACAAAATAACTATTAGAAACGTATGTGTAGAGTAGTCTAGTACCAATTTCTTTTTTAACTTGAAAGGAATTTTTTTGTTTGTTAATTGATTAAGATATTACATATGTTTCCTTATCCCCTCATTGTCCTCCCACTCCACTCCCGTTTATGCCCTCACTTCCCTGGTGTCTGTGTCCATTGGTTGGGCTTATATGCATGCATACATGTCCTTTGGTTGATCTCTCCACTTACTCCCACCCTACCCTATCTTCCCTCTGAGGTTTGAGTATCTGATCAATGTTTCTCTGTCTCTGGATCTGTTTTTGTTCATCAGTTTGTGTTGTTCATTAAAATCCACAAATGAGTGAGATCATGTGATATTCATATTTTTCTGACTGTCTTATTTTGCTTAGCATAATGCTCTCTAGCTCCACTGATATTGTTGCGAATGGTAGGCGTTCCTTCCTTTTTACAGCAGCATAGTATTCCACCGTGTAGATGTACCACAGGTTTTTAATACACTCGTCTGCTGATGGGCACTTGGGCTGTTTCCAAATCTTAGCTATTGTAAATTGTGCTGCTATAAACACAGGGGTGCATATATCCTTTCTGATTGGTATTTCTAGTTTCTTGGAATATATTTTTAGAAGTGGGATCACTGGGTGAAATAAGAGTTTAATTTTTAGTTTTTTGAGGAAACTCCATACTGTTCTCCACAGTGGCTATACCAGTTCCTTTTTCTCCACATCCTTCCCAGCACTTGTCATTTGTTGATTTGTTGATGATAGCCATTCTGACAGTTGTGAGATGGTACCACATTGTCATTTTTATAGAAAGGAATTTTTAAAATAATTATACAACATGGTATTCTTTCAGACATTATTAGCATATCTAAAAAAATTTACTTTTAGTTTGCCAGATAGTTTCATGTAACAAATTACTGGAAACTTTAGAAAGGAACAAATACACAGTATCAGGATAAATACAGGTTTTTGTTTGCAAAAGTAATTGTGGTCACTCATCCAATGGATGATTCTAGCACAGCTAAAGGAAAACAAATGCCAGTCTCTCTTGCCTGACAAATAATACACTGGATCAGAATTGAGAAGACTAGATTATATATCTTTGACAAGCTTATCTGATGGCAATTGAGTCTGGTAGCTTATCAGGACTTCTGGTGCACTGTACTATCACGATGTTGAAAAATAATATGAAGTCTACAGAAAAATATCAGTTGTGCCAAGAGAGATAAAATAAAATGTTGACTTTTCTTTCTTTTTAATAGTGGATTACATTCCTGGAAAGGAATAATTAGAAATGAGGTATACCAAACCTAACCTGAAGGTATTATATTCTCTGCTATCAAAATCACATTGTGCTTTAGAAATTATCACAATGGTTATATATAATCAAATAAATTATACCTATGTTATTAGAATAAAGGCGTTTGAAAAGATATATCAATTGATTTTATAAGTCAGTATAGAAGCTGGTTACATTAAATGGTATGCAACAAACTACCATAATATTATATAACATTTAAGTTCTTATCTTGCTTCTTCATTAATTCTCATTTTATACTTGCTTTGTAAATAAATAAGTAAATAAATTCATCCATCAGCAACACAAGACTTAAACATTTTTAGAAAGAGATTCTAAGTTGTTTTTAAGATTTGAGTGAAACTTCACATTTTTCAGTAGTTTCAGAGAATCTCACTCAAGTGAAAGGTGCTGGTTTTCACTTAGTATCTTTCTCAGAGTAGTAAATTTTCCTAAATTACCATGACAGTAGAGGCCACACTGAATTAAAATAATATAAATATGGACAACAAATTCACAATAAGTTCATATTCATGATATAATATAAAGCCAGTCACAAGATTACACAATCATTTGGCAAGTAATATACTGTAATGATAATTCAGAAAAATATTGCTCTACATGTACATGGGTGTTAGGGGTGGTAGATTGAAACAAACTAACATAGTTTCATGAAAAATCTTAAATAATGAATAAAGACTATTTTTAGCCATCCAAGCTAAAACATTACAGCACTGAAAATGACAGTAATATTTTAATATTTACTGAACTAATCTAAAGTTAAATACCAATTCATGCTTATGAATATATAATACATTTAGTAAAGATTTATACAGATTATGAAGGATCTTTAATTTGTGACATACGTTTAGATTTTATCTGGATTTCAATATAAAAACCTAAAAATGAAAATATCTGGTCAAAATAGTACCTTGGAAAAATGTGTCTTGTAGCAACATTCCTATTAAAATATCTAAATTCTATTGAGTCATTTTGACTGATACATATTATAAAGCCCTACTTTATTATTTTATTGCAATTTTCATGTTTATAAATGCACTAAAATACTAAAAACAATATGAGGTAGAAACCAATGACAGAAATGAAAATTAATGACAGTTTTTATAGAAACTGTTCACAATGCTGACATTGAATACATGCATTTCCTTAGAAATATGCTTCACTATCTACAGTATTTTAATTTAGAACCCTGTATTATTTATTCCTTTGCAAGCGATTAGGATAGAAAGCCATTAGTAATATACTTCTATATGACCTACTTTACAAAATGTAAGTGTGCCTTGGGTTAATGTTCTACAGTCACAGAATGGTCATTATCACCTTCAAAACTGAAAGAAAAAAAAAATGAGTATTATACCTTTTCTGCTTCAAAATACTAAGCACCATTCAAAAGGACTCAGACTTTTTTGATAATTGCCTGCAAAGATACTGGTGGATTTACTTTTCCCCACAGCAGAAAAGCTAATAAGGAGTTCAAATTAAAAAGAATGAATGGAGCTCTATAATGACTGTATTTATAAGAAAATTCCACACAACTAAAAAACTTTAAGAATTGAGTAATAGAAATCAAAGGAATGATCCCTTAGGAAACATATATTTCTGGGTCTGCAAAGCCTGTCAAAAGCAATGTGCTAAATGGATTTCAGAAAAAAGACAGGCTGTTATTATGAATAAGTACTCTTCACCCTTCTTTTGCAGCCTAACTAAAAATCTCCATTTTGTGTGAAATATCATATATAATATTATGTCCATTAGAATATTATATAGTAAGTTATAGATTTTTAACTTAAGCTGCAGAAGAATTTTAAATTTTGCAGATATTTAAGTATCTATCAGTGTAGACTAATAACTGTATCTATATATCAACTGGTTTGGTCTGCCATAAATTAAGTAATTTTGGGGAAGTCTCTAAAGTGTATATAAGCCTCAGTGCCATCTATTACATCTATCTATATATATAAAAGCCTAAGCAACCATTAGGACTGATCGACGAATGACTGATTAGTCACTATGATGCGCACTGACACCCAGGGGGCAGGCACTCAATGCAGGAGTTGCCCCTGGTGGTCAATAAACTCCCACAGCCACCGACCAGCAAACCTCCTGTGGTCCCTCCCCCAAATATGTGAGAGACAAATATGTTAAATCATTAATTTAATTAACAAAGCAAAATTCAAAATTGTGATAAGAAGGTAAAAATATAACAAAGGATAGATTGCTATTATACTTTAGAAACTTCCTTGACTTTTTAATTTTCACTAATTATGAGTATTAAAATGGCATTAAATAATTGTTTAAAATTATTTTAAATTTGGGATAAGCCATTGGGAAGGAAATAATTAGAAATGAAAAAAATTTAAATCATTTTATGAAAATGTCTTTATGAAAACTTTAATTATAAGTAAAACCTCTAAGTTAGACTAAAATATTTTTGTGCTTTATGAATACGTGTTTTATAATTA